CTCATGGCCGCCATCACCCCCGCCGGCGCCTTCGGCTTCTACGCGGGCCTCTGCTTCCTCGGCTGGATCTTCTGTCTGTCATGCTACCCCGAGACGGCGGGGCTTAGCCTCGAGGAGGTGCAGATTATCTTTGAGCGCGGGTTTGGGATCCGGGATAGCGTGCGGCTGCGTGCGGAGAAGCAAGCGATCGTGCGGGCGGAGAAGGAGAGGCAGAAGGCTTGATGCGTGAGCGGTTGGTGCGTCCGCGAGCGTGTCCCCTTAATAACGATGAACACGTTCAAGACCGTGATGTGTTCTTATGTGGTGTCTGCGACGCACTGTTGTATTTTGTAGATTTTTTAATTCCACAGCGCCCAATCATGCAGCTTGCTGGGATTCTCGTATATTGATAAAATCCATCCTGTGGGCTCAGCAATGCATGACATTTGTTCGAACGAATGCGCTACAGCGATGTTGACAACAACAATGTCTGAGGGTGGGCACTGGATCGTCAGATCTATCTCACACATCAACATGAACCTCAAAATCTTCTAAGCTTTTGTCATTCCTCGAGTGAGGGTACAATACAAGCCTTGCTAATGTTACAACGAGTGTCTGAGGCCGTAAAATGTTCAACTAATGATCGAAGATCGAAGAAAAAAGCTACAGTAGAGTTCGCACAAAAATACCAATAACCCATGGGGACGAAAACCCGCTGTAAAGATACTAAAAAAACATCCAGAGTATATCATGCTACAGATCCGAGGATTAATATGAGAGCAGAATACAAAAAACATATCCGTAAATCATCAACGCGTCCATTCACCGCCGCTCGCCAATTGCGCAAACACGCCATGTTTTTGCATGAGCTCCTCGTACGTGCCTTCCTCCGCAATGACACCATCATGCACGACGAGTATCCTATCGCACATGCGCATCATCTGCAGCTTGTGTGTCACCACGAGCGTCGTCCGCCCAACGCGCGCCCGCACAAGTGTCTCCATCACCGCCGCCTCGTTCGCCGCGTCCAGCGCAGACGTACACTCGTCCAAAATCAAAATACGCGCCGGACGTGCCAGCGCCCGCGCGATTTGCAGACGTTGCGCCTGGCCGCCCGAGATGAGCGACGCGTTCTCGCCCACGTGCGTGTCGTACCCTTTCGGGAGCGACTCGACGAACTCGTGTACGTTCGCTGCTTGCGCTGCCCGCCGCACGTCCGCGTCCGATATCGATTTGCTCCCGTACGCGATGTTCTCGGTGATGGTAGTGTCGAAGAGGTTGGCGTGTTGGCTGACGACCGCGACGTGCTCCCGAAGATGATGAACGTCTGTCGAACGCAGCGCGTTCAGCCCGATGCTAATGGAGCCCAAGTCTGGCTCGTAGAGACGTTGAAGCAGCGATGCGATCGTGGATTTGCCAGAACCGGATGCGCCGACGATGGCGACGCACTCGCCGTCAGCGATATCGAGCGAGATGTCCTTGAGAACGGGCACGTCCGATCGCTCTGGGTAGGAGAAAGAGACGTTGCTGAAGGAGACGCTTCCGTCGATTTCGGGTTGCAGTACACCACGAGACTCCTCCGTGTATCTCGAGAGTTTCAACAACCTGTTGAAATCACGAGTTGCTTGCACGGACTTTGCAATGCGCTGAGCTACAGGTTGTTACTAGGTCAGAGACACAATCGGATAAAACAATGCTGCATTGACTTACTGAAGCCCATTAGCTGAGAGCCAATCGAGACAGAGAAGACCACCAGTTGGAGTACTTGGACCATCTGCAGATAAGTATACGTTCCGCGAGCGATAAGAACGGCGCCGACGTAGAAGAGGAGGGCTTCCGCGAGATAAATGAGAGCACTAGCGACACCGTACGTGCAGCCCTCGATGAATGCGCCACGCACTCCAACGGAGAGCGCTTGATCTGTTGTCTCCTCGAACTTCCGCTGAAACGCACTCTCAAAGCCCATGGCACGAATTCCACGAACATTCGATATGGCCTATACCCAAATCAGATATGTCTCAAGATCCATGACAGTGAAGCACATACATCATAGTATCCTTTCGCCACTTCCTCGCGCGCACGCTTGTTTCTCGTCTCGCACTTCGCGACTAAATTCGACTGTACAGCCATCGACAGTGCAAACACCGGGGCTATCGCAATTCCAACGAGGGTGAGCTGCCAACCCCTGATGAGCGCCCAAATGAGGCCGACGCCCAGCATAGACGTCACAACCGTCGCCTGGCAGAGCACCGTCGCGATGAGCGCACGCGCGTCGTCGCCATCCTTGATGAGGATCTGCACGACGCGCGCCGAGCTGTTCTCGCTCTTGTCGAACCACTTCTTGTCCTGCGCGAGCACGAGCGTCATGCACGTCTTACGCACGCGCGTGACCCAGTCCATGCCGATGACCTCCATTATCGCGTATTTGAGCCCGACGAATACGCCGTCGGCGGCCGCGACCGCGAGGACGATCCCGCCGTACGTGTTGATGAGGCTGACGTCCTTGGCGCCCGCCGACACTTCGACGAAGATACGCGAGAGGAGGAATGCAAAAAGTGGCGTCATGGCACCGCTAGCAGCGCATACCGTGATGCCGATGATGATGAAGGGTTTCGTGGGAAGTGTCGGGTAGACGTCGCGGACCAAGCTCCAGAAGGACTGCATGGGTGGCTCAGTAGGCACCTCCGGCTTTGACCCGACGTTCTCGGATGATTCGACCTTGATCGCCTGCAGCGCTTCCAGGGTCTTTTCGTCCCACTTCGTCCGGGGACGCTTAGCAGGGAGTGACTCGCTCGAGTGCGCTCCATGACGCTTGATCGTGACCTGGCTCGCGTTCTTCCGTAGCATGGCCTTCTCCGCATCAAAGTCGTCATCATCCAGGGCTTGAGGGGAGCAGAGCGTCGTAGTCGACCTCAGAGAGTAGGCTGTAGGAGATGTCGGCGTAAATTGCAGACTGTACCGGTGGTTGGTGGCGACCATCGCGGGAGGCGAAGGGATGTCAATATGCAGCGTCTTCCGACGGCGTTCCTTGATGGGCTTCTCGTCCTCTTCCTCATCTGCGGGCGAGATCCGACTGACGGGCTGCTCGATCCGCGCATTGAGAACGGCGGGCGGAATCGTGGTTGTCGAATTCGTCAGATCCGCAACAGCGTCGAACATCCAGTTGCCCATCGTCAGCGGGCGGAAGGTCGACTGCGTGATCGTCTGGTGCCTGAGCGCCTTTGTCCCTATACGCACCGTATCGATCTCCTCCTGCATCTCAGCGAGCTGCTGCTCGAGGATCGCCTCCACGGGCACCGGCACAAGCTCTTCCGCAGGCTTCTCGGGGAAGCCACCCGATGCGTCCTGCATGTCGACCATCTGCCGAAACTCGCCATACGTGCACGCCTCGAGCTCGGACCGGTAGCCCTGCTCGACGAGTTGCCCATCCTTGAGCATATACACAAAGTCGTCCGACGCGATCTGCGAGAGATCGTGTGTGATGACGATCGTCGTCATGTTCTGGCGCCAGCGCTTGACCGCTTCGAACACAAGAATGCGCGACGTCGCGTCTAGCGCGGACGTCGCCTCGTCTGCGTGGGCTCGTCAGTCCTCACTCGCGGTCGGAGCATCAGACGAATACATACCTAGAATAAGAACAGTAGGGTTACGCAAAAGCGCCCGCGCGATGGCCAGGCGCTGCTTCTGGCCACCAGAAAGGTTCGCACCACCAGTGCCCAATTGCGTATCGTAGCCGTTGGGCAGGTCCCGAACAAACTCATGCATGAGCGCCGCACGGCACACAGCCTCGACCTCTGCGCGCGAAACGTCCTCCGGCCGACGCGAGCTTCCAGGGAACGCCAGCCCGATCGCGACGTTTTCGTGTACTGTCATGTCGAACAAGATGCAACCCTGCGAAACGGCCGCGACGTGTGAGCGCATCCACTCCTCGTCCAGATACGCCGTCTCCTGGTCATCGAGACGGATCGACCCGCCCTGCGGCAGGTACATCTGCAGGAGGAGCTGAGCAATGGTCGACTTTCCCGAGCCGGAGCTGCCGACGATGAACGACGTTTCATCTGAAGGGAGGAAAATGGACACGTCCTTGAGCGCCGGCATACTCGGGCGCGATGGGTACGCGAAAGTGATATTGTCGAGCTCAAACTCGCCGCGACACTTCCCTGGGACGATCTTGCGGAGGTGCGTTTGTCGGCGGCTGCTGCGCTTGAGCGCCATCGATCCCGGACGGCCGAGTGGTGCAGCCGGCTCGGACTCGGCAAGTGCGAGCAGGGCAGCCATGGAGAACTTGCCCTTGCTGAGCACGACGATCTGCGGAATACACATCTGCAGGTTGTTCGCTGCAATGAGGCACGCCCAGAAAACAGACATGACTGTGCCCGGCGTTATGCTCCCATCACGTACGAGCTTTGAGCCGAACCAGAAGCCCTGCACGAACATCGCCATTGTGACGAACTGCGCGCACGTCGCGGTAATGCCCCACACGGTGATGCATCCATTTGCCGCTGCCTGCATCGCGTCAAGCACACCACCGACCTTGGCGTGCTCGTGGGGCTCCGCGTTGAACGCTTTCACGGTCGCGATCGCGGCAATGGCGCGATCCACGAGCGTCGCTGCCTTTGCAGTCTCAGAGCGCTCGACATTGAGGTAGGCTCCGGCGAAAATCTGCGAAACCACCTGAATGAACATGAGGATGGGTACCGAGGAAAGGATGATGAGCGTGAGCGACCATGATTCCACAAAGGCGAGGACGACGCAGGTAATGCATGAGGTCATGTATTGAACGATGAATCCGGACGCCAGTGAGGATGCCATCCGGACTTCATCGGTCTCTCTAAGAAAGTGTTAGCATACGAAAAGCAGCTATTCCGACAGCTACGCACCTGGCGAACCTCGCCATGAGTCCTCCAGCGCCGACAGGGCCGTCTCCGTCTGTCGTTGTGACGGAGTCCTCGGAACCCATCTTTGTGTCGAACCACACCATCTCCTTCTGGGTTACTGCAGCGTATACTTCCTTACGCACAGCCATCAGGTTGCGCTCGCCAGTCCATATCCACAAACTGGATGTGATGGTGCTGAGTGCGAGTGCGCCAAAGGCCAAGCCGACTAGTTCCAGCGCTGCGATGCCTACGCCATGGAGCAGCTGTTTCTTCGCAGCTTGCGAAGGATTTGGAGTGGTGGGAAAGTTGGCGAATGCATCAAATGACTCCCCAATGACATAAGTCATGAAAGGTGCCACGCCGCCAGCCAGCATAGAAGTGAGGATCGCCGGGAGAAGGAGACAGTAGAAGTCACGCCGCGAAACCAGTGAGAAGAGTAGTCTGACGGAGGGTTGAGGAGGAGAGGAGACCGGATGAGGGTGCGCGGATTCCCTGGACTGAACCTGGACCGTTGTGGTAGACTCGAATTTCTGTTCGAGGTCGGAGGTAGAGGCATGAGGGGTCGTAACAGTCGTGTCGGACATCGCAGGAGAGTTGACTGCGAGGCCCGCGGGACGACGCAAGGGGTGAAATGGCGGTGGTACGAAGGGGAGAAGGAGGAAGGGATCGCGAGGAGGCGAATAGTTGGGCCATTGCTTTTGTCAATTGTCATGGTCGGCGAGACAATAGCACAGAGACTCTGGCTTGCGGCCGCGCATGGGCGCCTCACTATTGTGTTGCATAGCATTCCCACGGTCAGACAATAAGCCTCGCCGCGTTACACCCTATGCGAGCCGAGCTGCGATGTCCCACTCCGGCGGAAAGCACCGTTTGTTCTCTATGCTCGCTGGGCGTCGGACCGTCAATGTCAAGAGGCAGCAGGAAATACCGACGGTGGTCGAGGAAGGAAGAGAGACCAAATACTATGCAGGAACGCGTGGCGTCACAAAATGCGACGCGGCCGATCACACCTGTGACTGGGCTCAGGCTGTCTTCTTGAGGTCCTTAGTCTCCCTATATCTAGACAACACACTTTCTGCTAGTAAAAGCCGGATAGAGGGCCTTTCCGGTTGATCATACCGGTCAATGATACACAGATGCTCGACGAATCACAAACAAGATGCGATATTGCAAAAGATCACACTTCTTTGAATGAGCTGTCCGTTCTCAATCCGCGAAAGCACCTGCCACTAGTCAGAAGATAGTTTGCAGGTACGAGAACTCGAATGCATCCACCAGCTTTGCCTATGGATCAACTTCCGTGTATGTCGCATGCATCCAATCTATACGAGCTACTTTTAGACATTATTCATCTTGTAGAGATACGTAGAAAGTCACTCATGGCTGCGTCATTGAATGCAGGTGGCTATGTATCTACTGCTGTTATCAGCGGGAATGATTTCAAGGACGTAACATCCGGTGGTGAGTCCCTGCTGCCTGGCGCTACCTTCTCAGCAGGTGCGGCTCTTCTTTCCAACAGCATTCTTCTATCTCGGTCTGGCTCACAAAAATCTGCTCATATGACACCTTCAGATGTACCATTCATCATCCAGCCAGCTATTCATTCCGCTCCGAAGCGGGAACATGAACAGTGGTCTTCTGTGCCGGCGACCAAGGCGCGCACACTTTCCACAGGAAGCAACGTGTCCCAGAGCTTGTTGAAGACAGGGACCGTGAATCGTAAACCACTAAGAATATCCCCTTCCTCAGCATTGGTCGGAGGACCTGTCTCGCGGGATCATCCATCGATCATGTCCTCACCTACAGCCTCCGGCTCAGATGACTCGAAACTCAAAATATCCGACCACTTACGCGTCGCTACAACAGACTCTATCACTTGCCAGTGGAGCCATGTAGTTCCTGGATTGCCACCCTGCACCCGTTCTTGCTCCCGCTGAACGTGTGGATGCACATCCGCACAGCTCATGTGCTCGGTAATAGCTGCAAGTGGGGCGAGTGTCAGAGAAAGGGTGACTATTCTAATCTCAAAAGACACGCCAATGGTGATCGCCTCTGCATTAAGTGGAGATGTCCCTTAGTCAAGTGCGACCTCTTACTCTCTAGGGTCGGTTCGCTCGTGCGACACCTCAAGACGAAGCATTATTGCGTCTCTGGTGACGGTGTCGAAGGTGAAGATGACATCGAGTCCGCTCGTAGCAGCTTACGAGATGCAAAAGAAGCACTGAGACCTCTAGAGGCCTCCGAAGCCAGTCGTAAACGGGTTTTGGACGAGGACTTGGATCAATCCGCCCGGAAAAGGCCAAACAAACGCGTCCGGTCCCAATAGTTATATGCTAGCTGCGTCATATTTCGTTTGCTTCATCTTCCACTTCGTTTTTAATACTCTCTGTATAATCGTAACACTACTAATTTCTGTAATGATAGTATGTGTACTGGACAAACGGGCGGTCGATGTAAAGTAGGACTCGAAATGAACTATATCCCGCACACGTTCACATGAGCTCAGCGTTGAGAAGTATGCGGTTTTGGGACTTTCGTATGCTGTTGCATACAAATATCTAAACTTTCCAGTTGTACATTATACCAGCAATGAGATGTCCAGATTCATCATTCACGGAGTCTCAATGAGTCGCGACGTATATGAATATCGAACAGATCCTGGGAGCATGTCTCATGGCATTCGCATCGAAACAGTCAAGTAGTAAACTTTTAGTATGTTCTTATTTTCCCTAAAATAACCTATTGATTCCGTGGACAACATATACTGATCAGCGGGGGCGACCGTGCAGCAGCGATGTGATTGCTCGACATTGCACGCGTTCGATCATGTGACCGCGGTGTCTTGGACAAGCGCTCGTAGCACGGACCTGAATCAACCAGTCTCGGTCACCGCGGCCATGATTGCAACCAGCTCGTGCTTGCTCTCGGGTTCTCGAGGATCAACAGGACGCTTTTCATCCTGACGATGGAGACTTGGTCGGGGTCATATCCTATGGCTTGTTTCTGTCAAATAAACCTGCTGTAACTGGAACTGGCAGTGCTCAACGGCGACACCATTCAAGATATCAGTCATCTGGAATGTCTCACTTGGCTCGCATGAAGTACGTCATTCATGTTAAGTTATGCTGCCACATCTCCAGAGCGCCTTGCCGATGCCTTGTATCTCGCAACATCCGAAGGAGAGTGGACTACCGACACGGAATGCTGTGAACAAGTACCTATCGTTGGGGTTCTCAGTTCTGACACCTGTAGCCAGCATCCCTGGTGAATAGCTATGTCTCGCACTAACAGATCGTGCTGGATGAAGCGTTCAAGTTCGGTGTTGACGGTGAGTGGAATGCTTACCCGAATATTCAATTCATCACAATTCCTTCTCATCAGCCGCAATTCGGCTCATTGCAACATTACTATTTGGTGAAGAAACTATGAGCTTGTGTAAGCGGCAGGAGTATTAATGCCACGTCGCATATACCTTCAGGTCTGTGTCGATGATCACGGCCGTTCAACTGATATGGAAAGCTCACCCTTTGTTCCCACTAGGATATCATTCGCATGTCCAGACACAATGGTAACATCTTACTGCAACCGGTCGGTAGGCGCTGAGGACTATGCGAACCGTTGAAGCTAATACCACCTGTGTTCAGCCAATATTATATAAGATCTTGTATGCTTTTTTAATTCAAAAACACGTTTCGCCATCAAGTCATCGGCTCGAAAATCGCCTCAGGTTTAAAAGAGCACTGTGAGCGTCATTACTCCTTTGTTGACTACTAAGACCACGGATCTGTGCAGATTTCGTTTCTCAACAAAGCTCGTCTCATGAATCTGACTGACGCAGTTCTGAGCGCAGAGGAATACGGAGAGTACCCGGTTGCCACCTACTGCAATTTCGTTTAGCATCTTCGCGGTGCCACCCCCCCCCCCCGCGGCCACAGGCTGAGCGCGGAGGCATCGGCTCAGGTGGCTAAGTACCGCTCAAGGATCTTCCTATCTGAGTGTTGATTGGTACGCCACGACGCGCCAGCAAATACATGGCAACGTGTTCAATGTGCCACACACAATTCATCAAGGGCCACTGCGGGTGATATTGGATTGGCTCGGCGATCTGTTGACCCGTTGAACGCACGCCCCACGCGTACCGCGCTCGCTCTATATCTACCCAGTGCTGGTTTCCCTCTTGACTGCCACAACTGTCACGTACTCACCTACGCAGACGTGAATCTTCCTTCTGCTTTGCCTCCCACGCTAAACACTCTCCGGACTCGTCCCTCTACTTGCCGTATCGCTTCAGACTCTTTGCAATGGCCCAAGCTCGCACCTCGCTATCCTCTACGATTACCTACTCGCGATCAAATTCGGCGGGCCTGGCACAAAGCGGTCATGGGGCCAAAACTCCAGTTAACAACAAAGGCGCCTTCATTACCGAGTACGCTATCTGTCACTACCACGACTGTAACGACCCATTCATCCATCGCACGGTAGACAACACCATCCGCGTCTTCAATCACAGCAGACGAGGAAGTGGGCTTTGAGGTTAATGTCCCTTCTGAATCGAACACCGATGCAAAAGACAACGTACCATCGCAGCCTGTCCTTGCACAACCAGGTCGGATGATGGGCAGTCGTACGTATCGCTTGCTCTTATACGCGTTATAAGGTGCTCATTCAAAGACCTTCAGGGCCGAGCTGCTGGCGGGCGACCACTCCGAGTGGCCGAGTGGCTCAGCGCCACTCCGGACAAGTGCTGACCTGATTCCTCTGTCGTTTGACGGCCTGCATTTCCCTTACCACCTATCGGGGCCAGCCTAACAGCACGAAAGCTTGGTCGTTGGCTATCCAATACTAGTTCTCGCTGAACTAGGTGACACGGTATGGGAACATGGTGTGGACGAGGAAGACATCTTCCTCCCTCGGGCTGATTACTCCGGCACGCTATTAGATTCCTTCTGTGATGAAAGGTGCATATCGACTTGTGTCCTAATAGTCAGCAAAATAACGATATCTTCATGGACTACAGTTACTGGGGTTTCCTCCGCTCAGCAACTCCAGAATCAAAACCTAGCTAAGTCGACTCGAATATCAAAGAGGAGCTGTCCGTGTGAGACTTTGATTTCTCGCTGATTTTGGAGTATGAGCGAGCGAGGTGTGTAGATGGGTTCACGGACTGGGCATCATAGTGCGTATCCTCGAGATCATCCGAGACTCGGTGTTGACTTGATTTGCACTCAGCGCCTCCGTTCTCGAGAAGCAGTTCGGGATGAACATGGGTTGGTTGGCACCGCAGATGTCCATCCGTAAACGTGCCACCGAGCCATTCATCTTCTCGCATCAACACCCTTCCACCAGTTCCTCGACTCATGACTCCATCGCATCGAGTTCTGTCAGCCTTGTGGATGTAGTGAAGGAACAACATGCTGCAGATGCATTCCACGAGTCCACCAAGGCTGTCCTTGAATGTGGCAGATCGCAGAGGTATGTGCTATGTATTATCGATGGACTGCAGCTGATTTATCCGTCTGAAGCCCTAGGGTGCGACATGACCATATGCAGGCCGGTACAGGCGAGGGTTGCTGGCAACGAGAAGGCTCCGGACGACTTTCTGCATGAAAGTGAGTATCGAAACGGAGGCATGTTAGGGCATGACATGCTGATCTTTAGTTGTGTAGGTCAATGCGGGATCCACTCTGTTCAACATCGCCCAGCCCAGTGCGTCGGGCCACTGTCAGCGGGGGAGAGTGCAGGGATGTGGTATACGCCGCGGCGGCTCTTCCGGCTCATGCAGACCTCATGCTTCGCCTTCCGCACTTTCTCGCGGCTCCTCTCCTATCAGGTCTTCCTCTCGATCACCTTCCAGCTCGGACTCATCGTACGTCCCATCCGACGTGGAGGGTCCCAACGAAGCTTCTCGGAAGCGGAAGTCCAGGCAGCAGAGTAGGCCTCAAGCGATCAAAGGAGACTAGACTCATTTGCAGGATAGTATTCCCTCATCTGCAGTCGGGGTTGGGAAGCGCAAACGAGCTGCGTTTGCGTCGCGACAACCCCCCTCAACCAAGACAAATGTCGCTCCTGCAAGTACTGGAGTCCCCGATCGGCCAAGGGCATATGCTGTAGACCACCGTGGTGACATCAAGTGTCCATGGCCTGACTGCTCTCACAATGCTGGTATGCTGCATATGCGCCGCCGCCTTTTCAAGAAGCACACACGTAATGCCTCGTCTTGCTACTGGCCAGGGTGCCAGGCGAGCACTTTCTCCTCAGCGGCGAGGCACATCAATGATCATCACCTCAAAATTGAATGGGTCTGTTCTGCTTGCCACAACACCTTCAAAAGCGAGGATTATTCTTCAATCCTACGAGGCACGGCAGCATGCCAATGTTGAGGAGGTCAAGGAGAATTGGACCAGTGATGACAATGGTCAGCGATCAACACCAGGCGAGTTGAAGTCCTTGAGAAACAACAAGGTGGTTGATGAGAGGCTGTATAAGCGTAGAAGGATATGATTTTTCGTTCTCGGGAAATGAAGTGGTATAAATCTAATCATGCATCCAGCTGATGCATGATTAGATGTATACCGCTTCATTTCCTCGCCCACTGTATTGTATTGTGTATTACCTAGACTTTCCATTCCATACCAGATCATTTCGCTCAGCCTTCTCGCAAAATCAACTCATGTTTAGTAATAGAACCGTCGTTTGTAAGAATGCACCTGGTATGTCACTGTGGAACTCACCGGGCGTGGACAAGCGCACTCACTCACAAGCGCTCGTCCGGAGCGCGCGACGCCACAGCCTTGTCACGTTAACAGCTTCGGTGGCTGTGCATGGCCATGCATGCCTCCTCGCCTTTCGGTCCTGTAGCCATATGTTTGCTTGGCATAGATGAATGCGAGACAGCATGTGGATGACTCATGGGAATGAGACGGCCAATGACCTAACGACAACATTGCCGGAGAGGAGGCGATAATGGTCGCGGGGATCCATCACTGTCTCCTCTGGACTTAAAGCTCTAGTGGGTGATCCATTCGAAATACTTTCAGATTCTGATCGAAGAAGTGCGGCCCACATATGTGTCTGCTTGCACGGATGGAAACTGATATCGCAGATGACTTGTTCAACAACACTACGGTGACCAGCGAACCGATGACAGACCGTGAAGCAGGGCCGAATACAATAAGCACTAGCCTGCAAACAATGCAGAGTGTGGTCGTATCTCTTACTATGACGGTGGGCACACACGTGCCCCTCTGCGAGACCTTGATAGCAGCCAGCATACTGAGTTGTTAAGCCGAGCAGAGCCCTCTCGCTATGTTGGGAAGGAACGAGACGTACGACAGGAGAAATACCTGAGGGAATAACACATTTCAGTAGTAGTAGAACAACAATACTTCACTTCTTGTCTCGCAGAGGCTTTCAATCTAGTCAGTCCCTCAGCGGTTGCTCTAATAGGAAGCCGTCTGAGCAAGCATCGTGCCGTACATCCTGGGCGAACCAGCACATTAACTAAGTCATCAGAATGATAGTGCAATAAGGCTGAGATCAAGCCCACACATACAGGAAAGGCCTCCCGACGACGGTATGGGTTGTGTTCTTGGTAGAGTTGGTTGTCGGCCCTGCCATTGCGAGCCAAGAAAGTGCACCCGACGGCACGCAGGCACCGACTGACGACATACACGTCTCATGTGTGCGATCATTGCCTACATGGAGTCCTCAGTAAAGTGTCTATATGATCTAATAATAGACCTACCAAGCAGCATTCCGCCGCCGTCAGTCCACCATGAATATGCGCAATCGTAATGAGTGTCTCTCGCAATAGCGCAGGGTGACGCGATATTATAGTGCCAAATGTAATAGCACATGATTATCAAGGTTGTAAGGAATCTGATAGCGCATGACTTGCACACTGAGAACGAGGTCGTCATAATAGAAAACATTGACTTGAATTATCTTGAAGAGCTCTTCAGAATGTTTGGTGGCGCGATTGCGAACACACCATAGATGATAGTACAATCTACGTGGTCTCCTTTTCGTCATAAGAGAATATCATATGCGTTTGACGAGGTGACAGGTAGGCTCACTGTTACTGCTTGAAACGTTGGCGAGCATACCTCTGGGATTGACGTACCGGCCACTGAGCAATGTGTAGATGATGGTTCATACGGATGCTTGAGCGAGCGCGAGGTCAACCGAAGGGATGCGACAGTACGTATATGCGAGCATGAACAGCGACCTATACTGTCGACGTGCAGTACCCAACATCCATGAAACATAGAATGGAGCATTTAGCGCCAGTGCGGGACCCGCGCAGCATCCATGATGAATTGCACCCGTAGAAGGCTTAGCCATGTTTGTTGTAGAAGAGGTTCCGAAGCATTGCAACATAATCGAAGCCGCAGCAGATGCGTAGCGAGCAACAGCACCTTCGGCGTCTTCTGTGCCAGGATGCAAGGAACAGCTTCCATGATAGAAGCAGACTGCAGCTGCCAGCTACTCGTTCATATCATTTCTAGAGTTTCAATTGTGTTCCGCTGTCTGAGCGGCGGTGTGAATCGTCCGACATACAATTGAAACTTGGATACGGCAGGAAGCTGAAGTAGGGAGACAAGACGTGGCTGGACAAGGCTGCTCTGACTAGATACGGCCACGATGAGCAAATTCTTCGATTCTTGGAGGAATAACAGTGGCACTTCAACATGGAATTGGCGGCTGCGCGATACTAAGTCAGCGAGTCAAAGCGAGACCACAAACGCTGATACGTGGACGTGATACGCCACTGCGCTATGCAGAAGTGTTCGACAGGAAGGCACTTCCGTCGCCTGTGGATCCGGATATGAAGCGACAAAGATACGAGGGCAGGGGGGAAACACCTGTGACAGAGTTGTACTAGTGTAACAACTTGCTGTGCGCGGTGTCGTAGCATTGATAGATGCCTGGAAAACTGCACTGCTCACCTGCGGTCACTCCACAAAGCTCTGCGCCAAAGGAGGTGCTGGCATACATGTGTATGTCGCTGAATGGGCGGAACTTGCATGGACTCGCGTAGAAGGGACTTATCAGTCAACGGAGAGCTGCTTCTGAGCCACTGCGCGATACCCTCATGGCCGAATACCACATGCGTGGCCGCCGCGTAGTGATATCTAGAGAGATAGTTTCAACCAATGCGCCAGTCGGGTGCGCGAACATGCCAACCCCGCTTCCTTCTGAGCAGCTGCTTTGCCGACAGAATCCGCCCTATGAAGTAATAGGCATCGCTTCTCTGTTTGGCATTGAAGCACAGCAACGGAGCCCCAGCGTTTTGACTAATTGATGACCGAAGCGTGCACAGTGGGCGTGGCGTCGAGTATATTTAAGACCACCAGGACTTCGGAGAGACAGCAACATATCTCCACTTCATACCCTATCTCTCCCTTCGCTGCATCACACATGGGTGCTCAACTCAGCGCGCAACGGAGGCGCCGCGTCCCCCACAGCGACCAGTCATCAGAAGTTACCCCGTCCAGGAGTTCGCGGGAAAGCCGCACAGCAGTGCGCTCGAGCAAGCTGTGGTCGCACGCAAAAGGCGGTGCGCAGAAGGAAGAAAGGGAGATATCAGAGCAGAACGAGGAAAAAGAGCAGGGTGCGTCGGCACAGCCCGACGCTACTAACGGGGCCAAAGCGGTGCGTTTTACTGATGTGAGAAACGCACATATATTTATCTTACCCCTGCCTCTGCGTTCGGTCCCCTATACCCGTCGCTTACTCGTTCCTGTCGCTCTATCTTCTGCTCTGTCGTTTATCGAGCAGCGCAGACAGTCTGTCACCTCTACGAAGTCCAACAAGATGGTCCAGCCAGCAACGGTACCATGCCAGGTCAGACCTACACAACACCAACACCAATCCGCGCGATTGTGGCTGATGACTCCTGCAGTATCGGACAGGGAAGACACTGGGTAGCGGGACATATGCGATTGTCAAGGAAGCCGTCCACATCAAGACGGGCAAATACTACGCATGCAAGGTTATTAACAAGAAGCTGATGGAGGGACGGGAGTACATGGTGAGTAAAATTCTGCAGACCCCCCGTCTGCTCTACGCGCCATTTGCCACTGGCGTTACTGTCCACTTGCTCCCCATTCCACCTCTCTGCTTTCAACAGAACGAAGACATCCATGCACATCAGGATCGTGAAGGCATATCGGGGCGATCATGGTTGACGGAGGAATAATCCTCCTTTGTCCGTATGGTCGGCGATGCTGGTTAAGCAGCCTGATCGTAACGGATGGAAACAGCAATATCCATGCTGCTGCGCTGCATGATCACTTCATGTCTATGATCTTCACGATCTTGCGACGCAGTGACTGATCAGCCAGACTGCCAGGTTCGCAACGAGATCGCTGTGTTGAAGAAGATCTCCAAGGGCCACCGGAACATCGTCACACTACACGACTACTTCGAGGTATGTTCCAGGGGGCGGGGAGGGGAAGGGGTTAACTCTTATCAGGTACTGATCGTACATCCAACGTTCTTCAGACTGCGCACAACCTCTATCTTATCTTCGACCTTTGCACGGGAGGCGAGCTGTTTGACCGGATATGTGCTAAAGGCAACTACTACGAAGCGTGCGTGGCATGTTATGATCCCCCAGCTATTGTCTGATTACACCTTCACAGCGATGCCGCGGAGCTGATCAGGACAATCTTGGGAGCCGTCAAGTATCTCCACGACTGTGAGATCGTGCATCGAGGCACGTAACATCGTTGCTAGTGAATGTTCACATCGTCTGACATGCAGCCGGTAGACCTTAAACCGGAGAACCTTATCTTCCGCACGAAAGCTGAGGATGCGGACGTCATGATTGCAGACTTCGGTCTGAGCCGAATCATGGATGACAACCTTCTGACTGAAGTGTGTGGGACGCCGGGAGTGAGTGTGATTATCTTGATCACTTGCATCGATGTCCTGACCGAATGTCTCCAGTACATGGCTCCAGAGATCTTCAAGAAAAGTGAGCATTCGTTCCCGTCCCCTTTGTGTACGCACAACATTCACACTTTATCTCAGCTGGACATGGCAAGCCCGTCGATATCTGGGCAATGGGTGTCATCACCTACTTCCTACTCTGCGGTGAGCGATACTCCATCCTGAGCCAACTCGGAAACTCATACACGGACCAGGCTATACCCCATTCGACCGTGAAACGCAGCAGCAAGAAATGGAGGCGATTCTTGCGGGTGACTACAAGTTCGAGCCAGGTGGGCTTCCCTCAACGTCGTATAAGAGATTGCATATGCCGATGCTGTTGCAGCAGAGTACTGGGCGAACGTCTCGGAGACAGCGAAAGACTTTGTGTCATCGTGCCTGACAATTGATCCCGGCTCGCGGCCTACAGCAGAAGAGGCGCTGCAGCACGGATGGCTCGCGTCGAAAGAGCCGCACTACGTGCCCGACCCGGAGAATCCAGACGGCGGCATGACAGACTTGCTGCCGCACGTCAAGAAGCACTTCGACGCGCGGAAGACATGTGCGTTCCAGCGCTCGCCTTATGTTCCGGTGTGGAGCTGACGATGGGCCTTTGCTGCGCAGTCCGCAAGGCCGTGTTCTCGATGATGGCGATGAAGCGCATGTCGACGTTGGCGCACCAGCATGGCTCGAAAGTCGGCGGACAGAACTTGATGGAGCTTCTGGAGGAGTCCGAGAAGGTGCGTCGCCCGTCTACCTATATCGTCTCCACTGTGAAGGCTTATCGTGTCATTCGCGTAGGAACACGTGGACGAGGTATGCTTTGAGAGTTCGCTCCCTAGACCTGCCCACTGATTTACATGCGTTCGCAGGATCACTCCGTCATCCATCTCGACGACGTGTCAATGAGCTCGTCCGAGTCGGAAGCTGGGTCGCGCGCGGACAATGGGGAACTCGCAAACGCCCTCGCGCAAGTGAAGCTCGCTCCTGTTCCTGTGGTAGCGACGGATTGAGACGAGGATACCTAACGCGCGGTGCAAGGCATAATCCGCTGATAATTGGCGTAGCATCGGATTGTATGATATGGACCAGATGACTGGAATTTGTCAGGGCGGGGTGTCCACGCTTGCCTCGAAGTCGGGTAGTCGACTCCCTTCGAACGTACATGTATTCAGTGCCCAAGCAACGTAATTTTCTTTCCGCGAACAATTACTTCCGTTCGACTTTGATTGCAATTGGGCTCAATTGCCAGATTACTCACATAATTACGAGCTAGCCTCCCATTCGCTACGTCGCGACGCGTCCGTCACACTGGCACATGTACGGTTCAGGCGAATTCCGAGGGCGTTGTACCTAGTCTCCGTATAAACTGCTACGATCATTCAACGAGGAATTTACATGTACACTTCTATTCTCTATAAATGCCTTCTTTCATTTTCTCCCACCACAACCTTGTTCTCGGTAAGATGGACGAGGCCAACTCGTGGCTGTATGTTCCAACCGTGACCTCCGCACACATACTATGTATGCGGAGGGTGGAACAACTGGAACGAGCCGATCCACAACACCAGGGCGCGTGCACGGATCATCGCACCAACGAGAAACGCGGAACGCGCGGTCGCTCTTCGGGACGATATCATCGCTGGCTTTAAGAAAATCCAGAACTCCCGGAAGACACCAGGTGCTTCGATGAGCAGCACGAACACCTCGAGTAGCTATCAAACACGGTGCACCAATCTGCCACGCTCTCTATGAGGTATGTTGGTGTATTGATTCCTGCGCTCATTTCTTACCGTTGATCGTGCACAGAACAAACAAGCTTATGCTGAGGACGACGACGACGATGATGACGGTGACAGTCGTACGGCCACCTCCGAAACAATGACTATTCGGACTGTAAGTTCTCACTAAACGACAACTCCGCGCTCATGCATTTGATAGTTGACAGCCCGTTCGCACTTCATCACTGGCCATCGATGCTGTGATGGTTCATCACGGCATCGAGCGGGCTTTTGAAGAGCTTCTTTACCTGTCTTGTTTATCACTGCAAAACAGGTAAGGAAGCTCTTCAAAAGCTCATCGACACGGGCCAATATATAGGCCATCCCACCCCTGCATATGGGTATCAAAGGCAAGATGACTTCCCCCAAGGAATATGAACGACGTGTTTTTGGCATGATCGTCCTCCTCAAAGCCACTGTCATCCACGAAGTAATTGGCGGAAATGATGGTGCGAAGATAACAATTTCTTCGCGGGTACACGTCAGATCAACGTCGTCGTCCCTCCTTGGCATCAGCCTATCTCGGCATCTAAGGTCCATTTGCGGAAGGAACAAGGAGGATTCGGTCGCAAGAAATACGCCCGTACCGTCGTTCAATAGGTGATCTTTGCGGATCTTTCATCCCGCTCATTGTAGCGCATACGCGTGTTCCGTAAAAAATCCATTCGGTTCGTGAATTTCCATATTGACATGGTAGAGTTCCCATCCCACCTCCCAAACGAAAACACGTTGTCGCACCTCACCGAGCAAGGGGCCCGCCGCGGCGACGCGGCACTTTTCGAGTCTAGTATATAGCCTCGACGTCGAACCGTCTCATCTTTACTCACTCATCCGTACTCATCATTCCCATCAACGAGCGAAGCATGTCAGAATCCCAGCCTTTCGCATCGACCCTGGACGTTCTGGCCCGTATACTCCCAGATGGCGGCATGACAGACTTGCTGCCGCACGTCAAGAAGCACTTCGACGCGCGGAAGACATGTGCGTTCCAGCGCTCACCTCATGTCCCGGTGTGGAGCTGACGATGGGCCTTTGCTGCGCAGTCCGCAAGGCCGTGTTCTCGATGGTGGCGATAATACGCATGTCGACTTTGGCGCACCAGCATGGCCTGCACGTCGGCGGACAGAACTTGAGCGAGCTCCTGGAGGAGTCCGAGAAGGTGCGTTGCACGTCTACGCATTCATACTTTGCTCTTTAGGCTTGCCTACTGACTTGCATGTCCTTGCAGGATCGCTCCGTCATCCATCTCGACGACGTGTCAACTGCGGAGCTCGCAAATGCCTTCACGCAAGTGAGGCTCACTCCTATTCCTGTGTAGCGACGGATTGAGACGAGCATGCCTAATGCGCGGTGCAAGGCATATGCATGATCTGCTGATAAATGATGTAACATCGGATTGTATGATATGGACCAGATGACTGGGATTTGTCAGGGCGGGTCCCTGTCCACGTTTGCCTCCAAGTCGGGTAGTCGACTTCCTTCGAATGTACATGTACTTATACAGTGCCCAAGCAGCGTGTTTTTCTTTCCGCGAACAATTACTTCCGGAACTCGAATTTGATTGCAATTGGCCACTCGGACTTTGGAATGTGTGATCGCCTTTCTAGCAGCAATTGATGCCTGTCGCGACAGCTGATTGATTAATGTTTCCTCAATCTGGAACACGCCGGCTGAAAAAAAAATCCGTACTCTTGGTGATATGAATGGGAGTCATCTGAAGGCTTTTGATCACCCAAAATTGGAAGTAGGATCGGAGCAGATCTATCCAATGACTTTGGTCGGAAGTAGTCAGCCACTACTGAGCACATGGCCACAGTGATTGCCCTTGTGCAGACACACCTACTCATCTATCAAAGTCATACGCAGGGTGAAATATGCCATAAAAAAATCATATACATGTTACCCATGTTTGTAATGAGAAACTCGGGCTGTACGACCATTTTGCAGATTAGGGTGGAACCACAAGTACCGTCAGGCTGTTGGAGCTTGCGGGGAAACGTTGCCGAGAAATTGCCTTCGTGCAGCCGATGCGTCTATCAAAATGCATTTATAAGCATATGACGGGTGTCTAATCAGTAACCCTTCACCCGCACCTTCTAATCCTCTCATATCTGCGCCCGCCATGTCCACCGTCTTTCTCAAAAGCTATGTCGCTGCCGTTGACGGCCCAATGACCGTCAGCAACATCGTCGTGACCGGAACTTCAGCTGTATCTACAAGCACGGACAAAACGTTCATCATTGGCGCTTCTACCTACACATCGAAGACCGATCGGTATTAATCGACATCGTGCCGGGTGGAGATGGGCGGACGGGTGTCCTGATGGTGGTGAGCAAGCCGTACGCGAGGACCAGAGCGAAGGTTGCTCTTCAGTTCGACGTCACGCCTTCGCCGGGAACGTCCGTGCAGCAGTATATCGACTTCATCATTAAACACAATCTCGACAAATACAAGTATGATGTGGATGGAAATGGATGCCGTTGGTAGTGCACTGTGGTGTTAGAGAAGTTGAAAGGTGCAGGGATGGTAGTTGCAGGCTCGACGGATGCGTTTTTGGGTTGGATCGAAGAGCAGGCCAAAAGCCGTACTGCCAGCATCCCGATGCCTGTCCGCAAAGGCGAATTCTACGGTTGACCGCGGGAATAGCCTGAAGATCCTAGTAAGTCCGTTGTCGATTAGAATTCAGCCTCGGTCTCATGTCATTATTAACCAGGACGCCTAGTTAGAGTGAAATTTAGTGATACAACCTCTTGTCTCTGCAGGCGTTTCCACATGTTGTTACGTAAGGGCTGGGCAAGGCTGTGTGTACGAATCGACTATATCGGTCCTTCACTGTTTTCTCATTCACATGAGAAAACCAGTCATCAGGGACCATGAGATATCAGAAAAGAAGCGCCGTTGCCTCTCATAGCACCCCGCAACACACTGCGCCGCGAGTCGCCCTCACCCGCCAAGCTGCTCCCAATCCCACACCATTGCCGCGTACTCAAACCATCTAGGATAAAATCCGGATAAGCCCCAGTCCAATACCCAGAGACGATTATCGTTGCCCAGGAGCAAGTTGCGAGGGGCAAGATCGAGGTGTGTCAGGACTAAGGGCATGGACGCATCAAATGGTCTTGCCAAAATGGACGCTTTTTTCATGCGCTGGGCTACAGAAAGCTTGTGCGAGAACCACTCGGCAAGTTCGGCGTAGTTCGAAAATGGACCGGCACCCTATTGAAGCATATGAATATCTTGTCAGATTCTGATTCGGTCTACACACATAATCAGTGAAACACAATCCTTCGCACTCTTGAGGTTGCTCGCCGATGGGTCCAGGTCGAAGCTCCCCTTCTGCAGGCCGATAATGAACTTGACGAAGCTGCTTGACATATCCTCTCAATGTCCAAATAATTTTAACCTTTCTCCATAAAGAGAGGCTAGACCAACACTGATCCAGCGTTCGACCAGGGACAAACTCCATTACGAAATAATGTGAGTCTGGGCGGTCACCCGTGATCATCCGACGGGGAGCTGGAACGGGGATGGAAGTGGCGGCCCTGACAAGGTGAAGAGTATCAATCTCGGATCGACGTGTGGACGGATACTTGACGACTGTGTCCCTGCCAATGAGACGGACGCGAATGTCGATTAACGGGGACGGACGCGAATGTCGATTAACGGGTTCTTCAGGTGGTCGTCCGACACTTCTAGTTCTGACCGCTTGAAAAGTCCGAGTAGCTCAGTGTCAGAGAGTGTTGTAGTTCAGACCATGGCCTGAGCTATATCATACCTGAGATATTGTGCACTGACTGAAGAAGGAACAGGACGTACGGTAACTCCCCGCCATGACCCGATCAGGCGTGGAGGCGCAGGCAAGCATAGCGTTCACAAGGGCTATTGCGGGCTGACTGACGCAGGAAGCCTCACACTGTCACTATCGAAGCACCAGTGTCAGAGCGTTGTACATACCCCATGTACATACCCCTTGATTCTGTAGAGATCAAGATAGTCAAAAAATGCGCCTGGAAGGGCACGCACTGTTTATCGGTGTTTATTCCCGCTACAACTGGCTCCTAATTGCCACTAATGGGCTGGCCTCCCATTCGCTGCGTCGCGACGCGTCTTCTGCACGTGACCCATGTACGTACCCGGCAAATTCCGGCGTTATATCCTCCTCGACTACCTTGCTCAGGCCTGCTCTCGGGACTCGCAAGCATCGTAAACGTTTATTGAACAGCCTCATCTTTACCCACTCGTCCGTGCTCATCATTTCTATCAAAGAGCGAAGCATGTCAGAGTCCCAGCCGTTCACATCGACCCTGGATGTTCTGGCCCGTATGCTCCCAGAACACCTGCTGAAGCCGCGCGTTGGCATCGTGTGCGGATCTGGCCTATCGACGCTGGCATCCAGCTTCCGAGACGTGGTCGAGGTGCCGTACTCTGAGCTGGAAGGCTTTGGAAAGAGTACTGGTGAGCATATGCCTCAGCGCGTCTTACGTGAGCCCGAGCTACTCACAATCATTGCTTACTATAATGCATTAGTGTCTGGGCATCGGAGTGCACTGGCATTTGGACTCCTCGGGCCAGGGGCAGGCGTGCCGGTCGTAGCAATGCTCGGACGGGTGCATTGTTCCATTGACTGCTCCAAGTGGGCCCGCTGATGGATCCCAGCCAGTTCCACACATATGAAGGACACAAATTGTCGACGGTCGTATACCCCATCCGGGTGTTCGCAAAGCTGGGCGTGCAGAATGTCATCAGTGCGTGACCGGTGTGGCAGCCGAGCATTCCTACGTCCGTGGACCCGTGGTTGAGCTGTCGCCGTTGATTGCAGTCACGAACGCCGCCGGCGCGTTGAATCCAAAATTTCCGGTGGGCACTAGTGGGTATAGCGTCTTGTCATAGCGTGCGACGGCAGCGAGCTGATACATGCGCTTCTATGCATGCAGTCGTCGCAATTCATGACCACTTGGCGATCCCAAACATGACCGGATCTCTCAATCCGCTATTCGGGCCCCTCGTCGACCCGGATCACCCACGATTCATGCCGTTGTCAGACACGTACTCCACCAAGCTGCGCCGTCTGCTCTTCCTGGCAGCCCACGAGCTTCAGCTCGAGGACTCTGCGATATATGAGGGCACGTACGCGTGGGTGTCTGGGCCGACGTATGAGACTCCGGCGGAGGGGCGCTTCCTGCGCGCCGCAGGGGCGGATGTGGTGGGCATGAGTACCGTGCCCGAGGTGCTGGCGGCGCGCCAGGAGGGTATGGAGGTGCTCGTGCTGAGTCTGGTCACGAACCCGGTGATCATCCCGGATTCCTACCGGAGCATCAAAGCGGAGGTGAAGGCCGAGGTGAGTAAACATCGTGCTGCGAGTTGCGGTTGACAGTTAGGGGGCTAATTGGTGTGAAAAGCTGGCCGGGCAGAAGGTGAAGCAGCCGCCTGCGCAGGTGGTATCTCATGAAGAAGTGCTTTCCGTGGGTAAGCAGAAGGCAGAGGTCATGAAAAGCCTTGTCGCACATATTGTCGAGTTACTGAATTAGAAGCGCTGCGCCAAGCTCGTTTGCTAGAGGAGGAGGTGAATCTGCTCTTGGTCATTTCGTAAACGTCAAACTTCAACTGACCTGGGTTCTGCGCAGGAGATCTAACAATCATGCAGACTACTCATTAGATACCAATTGCCCGGCATGCATTAAGGGATACAAAGATCCATAGATGACGCAAATGCTGACGCTGCCCAAGAGGTGGTGATGAATCGTCGGGCTGTCTGATCGAATGGGCGACGATCGCCATTGTGGTATAGTGTCTCACCGCGTCATCTATGGCGGAGACGATGTATTCAACGCCCCATCAGGAGCTGATCTCAACCCGAGCCGCGTCGCTCATCCGGGGAAGCTGATGGGGACGGCCTGTCGGTATCCTCTGTGCTGCTTCCGGCGCAAGCCTACTTGGGAGGCAATCTCCGTGAGACATGTGAGCAGCAAAAGGTGCGCCTTGAGTGGGCCGGGTGTCTTCCTCTCGCGTGCCGCCGACGAAATTGCAGCTAGGCTGACAGGCGCGTCTGATCCGGAGCGGCGTGAGAGCGACACCGGGGCCACCGGCAGTTCAAAGGCAGAGATGAGAGAAAGCGGATTAAAGCGCGGAGGCAGATTGGACAGGGCCCTTCCTTCCATATTGGGCCACTACCATCAGGGCAGCCACCGCCATGCGTCCCTAGCCGGCGCGTAGCGGCAGAACGAATAAAACGACGCAGGCCCTCTGGCCTTGACCGAGTCCCCGCCCATGTGCTTGCCCTTCTGCTCGTTCCGCCCGCTTCGTCCCCTCCTGCTTTCTCTTCCCCCCGGTGGACTCTGAACCGACTTGCTCTTGCCCTCGAAGAGTTGTCAGCAACGCACTTGGCCCTTGCACGAGGCCAGCGGCCAGTCATATCAGCGGCAGACGTCATTATTCGTTCTCGTTCCCCGACCTCTTATTTCTTCCTCGCGGGTCTTGTTTCCGTCTTCTTCCACGGCCTTTGCTCCTGCACTTCCAGAGTAGCTCAGAGAACTTGGTAAGTCCTACTTGCTTCGTCTTCTGATTGAGGGTGGACGCTGTGGCCCGGATTGGCTGGCAGGATGGGATTGGGAATAAGGTCGGTGGTTGAGTCCACCGTGGGCCTCAGTCGATGCCGAGAGTGTCGACAGGCTTTCTAGACAGGATTTAGCTGGATGTAGAGGGATTACGCCAACGAACACTTCAGTAGACTGTTATTAAGTGCTCGCATGCACATCACGACGATCCCTTGCGCTGTACACAGGCAGCGCACATGTTCTTGACGTGCGCTCCGGACGGAGCGCTCGGCATGCAGGCACCCCCTTGCAAACACATGGCATGATCCTGTCCATTTGGCTATGACCACTCTCATATATGCACCCTGGATGCCCGCATATGCAAATTATGGCAGCGCTTTTCGAATGCTGACGCTTTGCTTACACAGGGCCGTCCTCTGAACTTGGAGGAAATTTTAAGGTGATTAATCTTCAAGTGATCCTTATCGAGGGCCCGGCGCATCGGTGCGGTGAGTACGTCTCCGCTTTCTGGGCTCATCTTGTGGGGCTGCCGATGTGGAGCACGAATAGCGCCCTGCATGTCTTGCTCATGTTTACGTGTAATCGATCACTGCTCACTGCGAAAGAAGCATTTGAAGGCACTAAAGTGATAGTCAAAGTGACTTCATCCAGGCCTAGTCTTGTGGACTCGGCTATAGCCTCTTCGCCATGCATTTTTACTGTCAACGTTGCTGTTCTTTCGGCTGACCTCCGTCCCCATCAGACGCTTCCTTATACACCGTGGTGCAAAATTAGTTCCACGTGCAACCTCGTGCATATATCAATACGACCTGCTTTAATTCCTGTCCCTCAACATCATGCTCATCTACCTCCTCCCGGATGGCCCGCATCCGCGGGTGTACCACACCGTGAACTTCACGGACCCGTACAACCGCGTCCCGCTGCCAAACAACTGGGCCGCACAGCTGCACTGTCTACACATGGACGAGTTGGACCTTCCCACGGCAACCCACGCGCTCGACAAAGCGTGTTGGCTCACGGCAATCATCGACGAGCTCGTGTTCGACATGGTCTCGCAGACGGTCTCGTGCTCCTTCTCGAACGGTCCGACGCTCCAGTGGTCGCTTCGCAGGCAGCCGGCATGCGTTGCTGCACTCGAGGACGTCCTCGCAGACCTGGCCCAGAGCAGAAATGAGCAGGACAAAGAACGTGCGGCAACGCAGCCGAGTCCGAAGGCGACCACACCAAAGCAGCGGCATGTCTCCCTGCCGCCGCCGGTATTGACGAAGTCAGCGAAGCACAAGAAGCAACGATCGTTGCTTTCGTCATTGATCTCGAGCTTCAACAAGTTAGGATCAGGCACGCCACCGCAAGACGTTCCTACTACCCCCTCGCCATCCCGGTCGTCCTTCTCGCCACCCTCGTCACCATCTCGCGTCTGCTGGAAACTTGCGGCTGACTTCCTCCCGCCCTCTCAGAAGACTCCTCTCGCTCAGACGCTCTCGCGGCCACTGTCAATGGTCCTGCAAGCTCGCGCACGCTCGAGACTGGTGGACGCTTTTCGGCGGTTCGTGCTCGCGGAAGTGAAGGCTCGAATAACACCGGGTGGATATGCGCATTGGGCGGCGCGCTGTATGTTGCGCCGCTCTGAGAACCATATGGCGTGGCTGGTTCAAGAGTCCGGAGGAGTTTTCCTGGACTTGACGCGGCCCATGCCGCCTTCCAGGATGACATCGGCCCTGTCGGGCAAGACTTTGGTCTCCGTAGGCGACGCATCGACGGAGGACGGCGACGATGAGGTGGATCGACGTTCTCTCACGCCATCCATGAGCACGGAGACCGACGGCTCCTCAATCCACACCCCAGTCGATTCTCCTTCGCATTCTCCCTTCGCCCCGCCACCGCCGCCAAAGCACACGGGATCAACCGCCCAGCGCATGCCCCGCTCACCCTCGCCGGCCGAGTTCACAGCGGAAGACTGGGCGACGTACCAATCGCTCAATGCGCAGTGCATGCGCCTGCGGCAGTTGCTCGTGCGCATGGACGCCGCACGCGCGGACACAGAGCAGGACGAGCGCAATTTCCAGGCCGTGCTGGAGGTCAAGAGCCGGCGGCGGGCGTGGTCGAACCGAGTGTACATGGGCGGCGCACCACTATCGGGGATCGGGCTCGCTCTCCCATTCAGGAGCTCGCCGCTCGCCCGGTGCGAGTCGGTCACGCCCGAGCTCCTTTGCACGACTCTGCTGGAAGTGAGCACGGGAGATCACAACATTGCAACATTGTTCCCGGTCAGTGAGGAGGACGAGGACGAGGAGGACAGCGTGCCGTTCTCTCTGGCGCCAGATGCGGCGCTGAGGGATCTCGAGAGCGGGTTGCTCCCGCCGCTCACGCGTCCGCAGATGCGTGCCCGGACACACAGCATGCATCCGATGCGTGCGCTGGACGTTGACCTGCCGCTCTGCCCTGACCCGCCTAAACTGCTTGTACCACCACAGCCACCGCCTATGACCGCCACGCGTCCGATGACACCAACCCCGCCGCTCTACCAGCCGCTCAACAAGTCTCTTTTGGAGACGCAGACGAAGTGCGAGCTGTTCGAGCACGCAGAGCGGGGTGGCGAGGACGAACACGAGCTCGGAGTCGGAGTCGGAGTCCGCGTGGGTCCGGAGTTCACGCTCGCGATGGACCTGCCGCCGCCATATGCGCGGACTGTGGGTGCGGAACACGACGGGTGGATCGATAGCCGAGAAGAGGTGTCGTGCTAAGCCTCTTGCGGCTGCTGTTTTCTTTATCTCTGTGTACGCTAACGATGTATCGGGACACTCAGGGCTGAGCGCTGGTTAGCGAACCCTCTCGGATCTTGGTCAGGTTTTCATACATTCAATGCATTACAGCCATGGATTCTCTTTCTCACTCGCGTATCGTCCTCATTCGGCATGCTTCATCATCTTTTCGCGTAAAACCCTCCTACTTCATCGTCCCCCCTCACGCTCCCGCTCAGCATACATCTCATCTGCATTTCCAATACATTTACCATTACATCGTGCACCATCAGTAGACTATCAAGATATCCTAATCTCTGCAGCGTCCATTCCACCGTTCGCGCTCGGACCCTCGCATTACCTTTGTGTACATAGATACCTTGCGCTCGATGCCCGCACTGTTTGTATACCTCAGCTGATGACTACAATGTGAAATATCACTCGGTTCCGTTCACACTTCGTGCGTTTGCGATGAGATTCGTTCAGTCACGTCAATATGTGATCAGTACTTGCGTTCGATGTGTATGGAAGGATGAGTGCTGTTGAGTCAACTAGCACGATACGTGCATATTGAGCACTGTGCGCGGGCGTATGAGATGAAGAAATGTCCATGAGCGAGGTAAAGAGCGAACGAACGGCATGAGCACCATTAGCCTGGAATGACTCAGGGAAAACCGGAAACTACGGTGACGAAGGATAAGGATGTCCGTACCCCAATTACGAACAAGAGAAAACGAAGACGATAAGTTATGTAAACAGAGGATCTATGCGTTCGCGACCTCGGTTTGTCGAGGCAAAGGGAGCTTGTACGTCCTCCCAACAGGCGTGCCCGGGCGACTACGAATCTTTCGCCACCACGTCCTGTGGTCCTCGCCATGCTCAAGCGTCGCAACCGGGATCTCTGGCGAACTCTCCACGGCAGGTTTCTCCACGCTGACGCGCGGGCCCGCGTCGCTCCCGCCGCTCACCGACATACTGCGTACGGAGCACGCGCCGACCGAAAGCACGCTCGACGCATCCGTCGACCCCGAGCGCGAGCAGGTGCGCTCGCCCAGGCCCGGCGCAGAGGGCGCAGGTGACTGAGGGACGGGCGCATAGTACGTGAATGGCGACGGGTCCGTAGCCCGCGTGGAGACGGGGACGGGATTGAAGAGCGTCTCGATAAGGGCCTCCGTATCGCGCAGTCCATGCGCATATGCGAGACGCTCGCCATCGGGTGTGCCGTCCGCGCGCATGAACGGGTGCTCTGCGGACCCTTCCGGGGGTAGGGAGGAGGAAGGGGAGGAAGGGGTGGGATATGTGTACGCGTCGACCTCGCGCGCGAGGCTCGTTCGGAGGCGGTCGTTCTGCTCAAGGAGGCCGGTCACGGACGCGAGAATCTCGCTTTTGTGCAGCGGCGGGGGGCGATAGTCTGTGGTACCGCCAGCGTGAGTGAGCTCAATGGTGAGCTATTCACGGAAATGATGTCGGTCATCTGTACACCATGGAAAGAGAGCGCGTGCTTACCTTGAGCGTCGCATTCGTCTTGCTCTCCCTCAAGAGGTAGCGCCGCGTTACTGGACCCGCATCTGCGTACTCTGCAAGGTTGAGATAGATAGCACCGAGACGGGGCTGGCGTGGGGCGTCCGGGTCACCAGGAATGACTCTCTGAACAAGGAATCAGGAAGATCCCGCGTCATCAGGAACTTCTACATACCTGCATCACGATGAGCTTGAGCTCATTAGGGAGAAGCGCACGCGTCTCACGATGCACATGCATCTGGACAAGCACGCGCACGTTGTGGTCCCACTTCACATTGTAGCTCTGCAGCGGTCGCCACGGCGTCGCCCCTCGCGCGACCGCGCACGATTCGTTCGACTCGCTCGATGGCGTCTTGTGGATCGGCTGTGTGCGCGGGGTGGGGGTAGACGCAGGTGATGCAGGTGGGACGGCGGTCCCTGGCGTGTGAGGGTGTGCGGTAAGAAGATCGCCATAACTATTTCTGTGTGTCTCTGGTGAATTCATTTCATCCTCGGTGCCTGTCCCTGCCTCGTTGGCTGCACTGCTCTCTCCGTCAGTGTCTGCGTCATTGGTTCCTGCCCCTCCATGACCTGCATGGTCTCCCTCTGCAGGCGTGACTTCGATCGCGAGACCGAGATTGTCCGCACGCCCCTTGCCCTTGCCCCTGAATCCGTGGCTGCTACTGCCTTTCTTCATTTTGGACAGTAGCCGGGAGCGCGACTGGACGTGCTTGAACTTCCAGCGTACAGCAAATTCCCCGCGCATAAGTGGTACATTGGAGAGCTGCTCGATGGTCACATGGGCGTGAAAGAGAGCATGCCGGGGGAGAAGCTGGCCGAATTGCGAGCGCAAGCCGTGTGTGAGAGCATGCTGTTGCTGCTGGTCGGATATAATCGATACGCTGCCGCTGGAGATGGACGCCGCGCTGGGATCGGTGGATGGGAACTTCATAGCTAGAGCGTCGGGAGGCATAGCTGGTGGACTATTAGGAGAGGATCATATACCGAAGGAAAGAGAGGCATGCCGCCCAAATGGCCGTGCAAAGTGATGGGGTGAAACAAGCGCCGGACTTCGTCAGACCAGACAATCTGCGTGTCAGATATCTACTCGCACAGGAATGCTGCCGGCGAGTATGCGCCTGGGAAGTATCACGTAGAGGCTTGAGCGCTGAAGAATGGGGCAAGAGGGTTCAGAATTCTGACGCTTCCGCGGGAGATGTGTGCGAGCGATTGGACCCGGTCCTGCGCTGGCTCTCAGGCTGGCGAACTGGCACAAGACTGAACACGCAGCTCGTCGAAATCAAGTCCGCATTGCAGATAGATCAAGGAGTAGATGGGTGAGGGCAAGTGAGAGTGGGTGAGAGGATTCAGGAGTGAAAGTCGTGAGGTAGCTTACGTAACGGTTGCCATTCCAGGAGCTGTGGCGGGAGGAAGTCTACCGGCGGCCCGCGGCAGAACACAGTCCTCAGATAGAAAAAAAACACATTCTTCTTGATGGAACCGAAGGCTGACGTACAGGAACCCTCCGATGATCAGCGGCGTTAGTACCTCCAAAATGTTCATCATTCCATCTGATGATTTGCATCCCGTCCCGTCTGATGCTAAGCAATTTAACATGTTTCATCCATGCGCTTCTAATGGCAATTGATGTATCGACAGACACGACATTAAAGTGACCTCACGGCTAAGACGGAGCGCCGAAAACGACGTCAAGCTTAACCATACGCGTATCACGCCGAGAGTGAGTATAGAAAAGACTGTTTCCCTCTACGAAGGCTGAATCATGAGCCTAGCTCCTTGCAGGAGCTACACACATCAGGAAAAAGGCCTATGCATTCTTGAGGTTGATGCTGGACGCTCGTGAGAGATAATGTGTGAGCGCATGTTGGGAGAATGCATATGTCGCTAGACAGTGCCGAATTTTCTCATCACGCTACGGCCATTCACTCACTTCAACCCACAGACGCCTCTGGCGGCCAATTCTCAACGACACGTTCCGAACGGGCTCTACTCATCGGATATTTCCATCCGGGATGACCGACTGCGTATGAATGCGCAACTACACTGATAAATGCTCCGATACAACAGTGATAGGGCTTTCTAACGGTTTCCATTGACGAAGAAAATGTATGAACCCTCTCCCAACAAGATCAAGGAATAGACAAGCTTCAAGTCCGGCGATGTGCGGCTTCGGAGGCTGAAGGGGACACTCTCACTCCGAAATAAGTGGTGCATTGACGTGCTGTGCCTGACACGCGGACGGGCGGTGATACTGCAAGATCCCTCCATGGGCGACGAGAGGCATTGTGCGTCAGCTCAACCTACATTAACGGATCCTGGTGAGCACCATCAGATCAAAGGTGAGTCCCGGTAATTTGTTTCGCGCCATGGTATTTATCGCCTCATTCAATTGTCCGCAACATTTGCGGATGCCTCAAGACGGATTGTGACGTGGCCGAGAGTAGCGGCACAACAGTACTTTACAGCAGTACAAAATGAACTTTTTTCCCGGTAGCTTTTGCAGCGAACTCATTCCAGCCGGCGAACACGCAAAGGGACCCTCACGCCCTCCTCCCCTGCAACCCGCGGTCGCTCATTCACTCCCAGGATGACCTCGATCCTCGTCTCCCACCCATCCCTCAACTCAAACGCAAAGTTTTTGATCAGCACGCTCAGCACAGCCTGCCAAGTATCCATCAGATCGTCCTCAATCGACAGCGAACATCTACGCACCTTCATTTGAGCAAACGCGAACCCTCGCCCGAGACACATGCGCGGGCCATCGATGAACGTCAGTACGTGCCGATGACCCTGAATCTCCTGTGCGCGGGGCGGGATCCCGCCTGCCTCAACCCAACGCTCCGGCCGGAATTCCCTTGCGTCGGATCCCCACAGTACGCCGGCCATGTTCATGTAGTGGATCGGGATTGTGACGACTTGGCCTGCGCAGATGGAGATGCTGTCAACGCACGCACCGGAGGCCGTCCTCATGGGGGCGGAGAGAGGTATAATAGTGTCTTCGGTGGCCTTTCAAGCGCAGTGTAAGAGACGGGATCGTGCGGATGTAGTAATTGGAGGCGTACAACGGCAGTATGCTCCTTGACTTGCGGGTGCAAGCGAACCGTTTCTTGGACTACGGCGTCGAGATAGGGAAGTGCATGTGTTAGCTGCTCCCATGTCGGATCGGCACTTGTGTATTGTGCGAGCTCGTCGCGGAGCTTTTGTTGTACTTCAGTTTTCTTGCTGAGCTCGATCAGGCACCACTGCAAATATCGCGGCATGTCAGGCTAGCAGGATATCTTTGATAGAAAGTCATACGGTTAGCATGACTGGACAAGTCGAGGCACTGTGAGCATCTCATTCGAGTTTAACAGAGCGTCGATTGCTCACTGGATGATGTCACATAACCGGCGAATATCAAAACTTTCATCTGTCGCGGCATCATACTGATTAGTGTATAGTTCGAGTAGGGTCAGAAAACTGACCTGTGAAACTATTTCCTCTTGAGACATTCGCAGAGCCGATTTGCTGCTCTCCGACTTGACTGCTCAGCGCCGCGCCGATTCATCAATACTCGCGTCAATCGACTCCGACAGCACGTACGTAATAATCCGACTATACTCTTGTCCTCCGCTGCGCCCCCGACTTTCTCCTTCCGCGAGCTGTCCAGTAATCTGGTGGCGATCTCCTCGATCGTCGCATCCAGCTTCTTGAAGAGCCGGAGGAGTGGTGAGGGCACCCTTACGATCGTCGGGAAGGCAAGTCCGACCATTGCCATTAACAGGTCAAAATCAGTCCGAGCACCAGTTAATGCATCAAAGCACTCGGCGATGGAGGAATGCTTGCCCTTCAGGGTGCCGAAGTCGTGCGTGAAGCCTGCGATGCCGAGCGTATCTAGTCTAGTCGCAGCCATGTCACTTGAGGTCAGTATCATTACAAATGAAACAAAAAAAGCTCACGAGATCCTGTTCATCCTGCAGGAAAGAAGGTCTATGAAGTTCATTGCAGACGTTAAAAAAATGTGAGCGTGCACACCAGGTTTGCACCTCAATGACTGCCGAGCCGCCAGATTGAGCCTCGATTATTCCATCCCAAGCATTTTTCACCTGCGTGCAGTCGTCAATGTTAGGATGATGAGTACCGTCCTCGCTTACAAACCTGGTAGGCGGCATCGTAGAACACCGGAGTCAGGTTGCGAATTGAGGCATTGGCGAATGCGGGGATGAGCCCCTTCCTTTGCCTGACATGCACAAAAAGATCAACTTTCATCGTAGGACCGTCTGATTTGTCTCGTCACCTTTTGTGCTCATCGCAATCTGCGTGCATGATGCCGCGGCCAACCTGCCATTCTTATGCATGTAGATTCATCATGAAATAAACGATGCGAATTGGCCACTGACAGTGAGCTCAATAGCTACTCTGTCCACCCTTGGTTTAACGAAGCCGTAGGTACCGCGGGCGAACACAAAATTGACTGCCCTGGGGTCGCAAAGGATGACGCGCGATATGTTCAGCGCGGCCGGCACATTGTAGACGGGGCCGTATTTCTCCGCCCACTGCTCGTACAGAAGGCTTGGGTCGGGCGATTTGGACACCAATCTGCCAAGGCCCAGCAAGAAGTTCGTGCTGGGCGGGCCAACAAGAGGCGTGGTACGTGCACGCCGGCGCAAGTGGTGGATGAGCACGTAGGAGAAAAACAGTCCGCTCAGGCCGACGAGAAGGCGGATAGCGGCAGAGACCATCAGGTTTCGGATATTCGGATATTCACGAGTTTCTGAGAGGAGAGCGTGTACCAGCAAGGCATTGCAGCGTATTTAAATACCTGTGATGAAGACGGATCCCGTCAGCTTTCAGCCGGGTTCGAGCAATTCTCGTGACACGTAAGGCGCCGTTAAAACAAATAACTGGCGCCACTATGGAGATGCAAGCTGATGATGTGAGATAACAATAGCAATTGTCACTTACCAGCAGGTGGCCTTGTTTGACGTGCATGAACGAACTCTGCGTACATTCTTCCGAAGAGTCAGCCGACCACGACACCTGAGGTAAGTGTCCGGAGACGTATGCATGTAGAGTCAGGCTTGAGCTTAAATGTGCGCCCGGTGGACAGCACTCGTATGAGGAAGCTATGCCCTTCCAGATTGATACGGAAAATCTGTCTCTGAAGGTTGACATCAACGACTCGTCGGCTCCTGCTACCAGGGCGTCTCGTCTGTTATATGTTTCTAAGCCGACTAAACGCGTTGGGAGAAGTCAGTTGAGAGAGGTATCTGAGCTGATATGGGCAAGGGAATGTCAGCTCACTCGCATCCTCGTCGTCAGACGCTACCAGGCGACACCCGGATGCGATAACAGACGTGCCTTACGAACGAGGGTGTCGTACGACGTACCTGAGCCACATAGTTACTCGGGCCCTCTTCGATTGTTGAATACTTATCAATACAAGGTACTGATTACTCACCGGTCTGTTCTTGTAGAGTGCCAGGTTGGGCTGGGTCCTCGACCGAGAATATTGTCCGTATTGTCCCATGGGGAAAAGCGGATGATTTCTTCCAGCCCATGTAGGAGCATGATGTGTTCAGTATTTGGTGCAGAGAGATTGAGCAGAATTCTAGTAAGAGAATCGTGTAACGCGTCGCAGAAGTGAAAAGTGCAGTCGACACATCCGAGGGCGCGCGATCGCGGACAAGACAAATCATGTCCCCTTGAGCGACCCTTTTCTTTCTTCGACATAAAAACTATCAACATCTGTATGCCACATAGGGCTATACAATCGACTCTACCGGTGCAGTTTGATATTTAGTTTATCGGAAGCATAGGTGAAAATCTTGATGAGCATTGAGCTGCAAATAATGATAGATAACATGCTCTGGCGAAGCCGCACGAAGTCCGGCAATACGAGATGAATCCAATTATCCAGACCTTCAACAACATGTTTTATGCCTTTGGGGCGTTGGAGGGTCTCCATGTTCGACCCTTAATCGGAAATCAGTGAGGAAATGAGGGAAAAACAAACGAGAAATTCATATTGTGACAATAGTAGCACGGGTTGATGCCGTCAAATTGATGCCGATCGTGTTAGAGCCTTCACGGCGATAAGGACCCGCTACTGACGTAGCGTAAATAAGTTTCCGAACAGGGCGCGTCCACTCCTTTCTTTTCACAGCCACCATCTCGCCGAAACCAACCCTCGACCAACTCTCGTTAATGGCCAATCTCGTTCGCTCTGCGAAGTCCGGGAGTGACTGGACTGATAATGACCTCGACGCCTATAACATCCAGATACGATTTGAAGATGCGGCAACATTCTTCGGAACCGACAACCTGCCCCTGCCCGCAGTCGATGAGGAGATCCTGACTACGCAGGAGGCGGAAGACATGGTACATGATAACAACGCGGAGCTCATCAATCTCCTGGATCTCGCTATGAAACCCAGATCAGCCGAGGATTCCGCTGTCGTCGACTTCGCCGTCCAGCTGTTCAGACAACTCGGCTACGCGAAACGCCACAGAGTCGCTCGCACTCGAAAGGATATTCCACTCTTCATCTGTGGAGAGTGGAGACACGCGAAGACGGACGTCTGCCTCGTCGATCGCCTGCATAACGACATCCTTCTCGTCGTCCAAGAGGATAAGCGTTTTACCCCGGACGACCTGTGCGAGCCTCGAGCTCAGCTGATCTACGAGGTGATTGCCGCATTCGACTATAACAATCGTTTGCGACAGTCGGCAGGAGAGGCGACTGTCGAATTCAAGGTATGTCTTTCATGATATTCTAGATGTGCTTTAATAGCTGTTGCCCAGATCATGCCGGGAATTGTCCTAGTTGGCACAACACCCACCTTCTACAAAATTCCCGTCACCGAGTCCCTCGTGCGCGACATGCACCACGGCACATATCCAACAGAAACGACCATCGTTTCCGCGCATGTCCCTACTCTCTCCAGGCCTAACCGCCGCTACAGCGAGGGAATGAAGCCTCTTGACAATAGGCAGGCCATACTTCGTTGCTGCGAAGGGTTCAAAGGTGTTGTAGGAATACAAGATTTATACTCTCCAGAAGCCATCAGTTCTTGTCATACGAGCATACGAGGCAAGTCGATTGCTCGAAGCAAGATCATGTCCTTTCTTGGGACGTTGACTTTCCTTCCGGATTGCGCAGACCTGCCTGCTAAGCGAATGAGACGCTCGATGCTCGGTCGAGCATAGGCAGAAATGACCACCACCGCTGCCTGAGTCCGAGGCAGACAACGTCGCCCATACCCACCCGCCATCGTTTTCGTCGCTGTCTCGCGAACCCCGTAGCTGATGCAGATGCATGACGCTTGCTTGCTTCACCGCCTCGATGCCACCTCCTCACCTCGGTCCCTACATCCAGCCCGAGGCGCAAACTTGTTAGATGTTGTATTCTGATTGTATTGATAGGATACCACTTACTTATCGCAGTATAATTGATCTCACGCAATGCATCTCTTTCATCGTAGCTGTATCGCATACACGCTGTCTCTCTGATTTCCCAGTCGAGCTTGTCAAATTTACTGCCACGAGCTCCGTTCGTCAAAGCAATCATCATGGATGAGGATGGTTATCTCCGAAATATGTTGCGTATCCTGCACCGACGATCGTATCAGAACGCATTCTCATGTCCGAGACGTCCCTGAGCGGGTGATACTCCAATAGCCTTATGGCTTTCAGCCATCTTATCACATTCTACCTTGCGGAGGCTAATGCACATATATCGGCTCGATAGAGACTACCAAGAGGTGCGAAGCCAATCGGTACCTTGAATACGTTCACTCACGGTGTTGCTTATCTCTCGCACCGGCACGGCTCTGTATAAAGATGGTGTTGCTAATTGCACGCCGAGAGTTGGCCTCGCGGTATCGATCCCCCGGTGCCTTGCGCGACGTCCTCCCAAGCCCGGCTCACAGCGCTCCGTGGACTTGCTATGACGTTTGGGTCGGTGGTGGCGCAGGCGCAGTTCCCTGCTACTATCTTGAACCATGCGGCAGGCGACGTTGTCAACTTCACGAAGCTATTCTCGTCCGACGGGATTCTCGCGGAGGCGTGGACCCAAAAGTCGTGGAATGGACTAACTACGCCCAGTGCGAGGTCGACGCCTCCCCGATGCTTTGGCGTCGACTCGGGGACGCCGTATGATGTGGCTGTCCTTGGTCAGTTACATCATAGTCGCTCAAGATTGCGCGTCGAAATTCTCTGGCATGAAGGAAAATGCTACAAGACGGCCCATAAAATCGACTAATGAACGAGACAGGTTGCAGAAGCCCACCATCGACATGATCCAGCACGCACCACGAATATCCCCATCCTAAATTACCCTTCTCACGAAAACGCTCACCTGCTGCCCTTCCGTGCTGCGACAGCCAGATACCACACGAACGCCTTTCAAGCTTCGGCGTGATGCACAAACACCTCAAGCTACAGCATGCTTCTCATCCTTCATTTGTGATAGCTCAGCATCTCGGTACTGTGCGGTTCGAGCACAGACAGGCGCGTTTTTGCGGCCAGCACGGGAGCGGTTCCGGGCAGGATGACAGCGAACGCATTGACATCTTGCGTGATTGCAGTGGCCAGTATCAGTGCACGAGAACTGAACATAGCGAGGTTCTCGTCGTTTGTATGCGAAAAATCGGTTGATCTAGCGGCGCGAGCTGAAAGTACTTTCTGAGAGTGCACATGGCAGAGTGGGGCGAAGATTTCGAAATTCACCACATTCATGACTAATCGAGTGTCCACAAACAATTAGCTATGAATCGTCGAAATGAGGAAGACGAAAAGCACGAAGCATGCCTCGTCAAAGGCGACTGGTGGCGTTCAATGCAGACATGGTGGCCATGGAACGCTCGCTGAGCACGAATCTCAGTGGTACGGGCTGATGCCATCAACCTGATGCCGATCGTGCCACCTGCACTGGCATGTTTGGGCGCATTAATTGATCGACTCTGCACGACAAAGCCGTGCAATCTCAACATTCTCCATAGTCCTCGCTTCCGGACAACACACTCGTAGTAGAGCCCTAAAATCCATGCAACCATGCTAGGCATAAGATCCATGCGCGCCTGCAATGTGAATAGATGGACGATTCGTCCAAAAGTACGTCCTGATTTTTCGTCCACTTCACTCCAATTTTCGTCCACTACGATTTGTTAGTGATCCGCCTCTGCGAATGTGCAGCATGACCATCCGGTCTCTGGCTGACAGCTCGAGCGAATGACCACCTTGTTGACTGTCACCGCCTGGACGGTTAGCATCGCAGATGGCTGTCAGCCTTCACAGGTCCCTCAAATCAGATGTGGAATTTATCTGGTGCATCAGCAGACCAAGTATGGGCAGTATACGGGCCGATGTGGAGCGCAGATTCTATGCGGACACCTTGACAGCTTGGTGTCACCCACCTGCTTCTCGCGGCCTTGCGTGTATCCATTCCATCAAGCTGCGATGTTGTTATTGCGAGTCAGCTAGTATGGCCTCACGCCTCAACATCTATATCAACAAGACCCGATTCTCGCTTGCAGGCGCTGCACTTGTAAGCAGACGAAGGGCGCGATGTACAACATCCCCACATGCACGCGTAAAATCTGAGTGATCGTGAGCGTCATCGTTCCTCGTCTTCTCCATTGCGGCCGATTCACCATCGCGCATGTTCCTGTCCTGCTTCGCACCGGCACCATCTCGAAGGTTTCCTGGCTGGAAGCTCGAGGAATCGGCCGCTTTGTCGACTCGACTACCGCTGCGTGAATTGTCAGCGCCTGTCTTGTCCAGCAGACGCTCCTCGCGCCGCGGACGTGGGTCGAATGCGGTGCGTCAGCGAACGCTTCCATTTCAACCGTGGGCTGTGACTGCAGGAATGACGTGGCGCAGCTCCTAGGTATTCGAGGACCACGACGTCCTTGCGTTTTCCTTCTGCATCTTTCGAACCTGTGTGCGTGCGCCCTGTGCATATTGCGGTACTGCTATTGACAGCCTCATTGTGGTGGCATAGCCTCAGCGGCGATGACGGGTAGGCAACCTCATGGCCGCACTCGTGGTGTCTGCACCAGTGCAGCGATGTGGTCCACTTGACGAAACGTTGAGGTATGTGTGGTTTGATGTTATCAATCGGATATCATATTCTGATAAGAAGTGTACGTGACGAAGCGCGGCGCCCCGAAGCTTCTCCAGCCATCCCCTTTGCCCTCACTCCGTCCCGTAGCAGTGCTGACAGCTGCGATGTTCGTTGAGGCGCAGCGTATCTATGATGCTATGCAGAATACTGGTCGTTCCATTCCCAGAAGTGCCCTGAATTTTTAAATGATGCAGCAATATCCGCAGAGCCTGAAGTATACGAAGAGACCTCTAGTCGGGCGCTGTATATGGGAGTTTAGATGAGCCTCCCGGATGTTCATCCATCTGCAAGGCACATACGATCCTGACTCTGTGCGTTGTAATGTGCGTGGGCCATAAGCACGCACCTAGGGACACACATACTGACTTTGAAACAATGAACTGTTCGCGCTACGCACATTACGCCTCACCTGTTGCCCGTGTCTGAAGCCGCCCAGGTAAACCTGGTTCTGCTTCGTCAACCGCCAATCATACCGTTGGGCTGTGCATGATCAATGAACAGACGGCGTGCGTACAGCACCCGCAGATAGCACCCCGATTGAATGGCTGCGTGATTCCAACACGGCTGTGTAGTGCTTGCATTGCAAGGCGATGCACGCGGTCATGTGGGGGGTATGTAGAAGATATGATATACAGAACCGCAAACCACGTTGCATGCGATGAGACGTATACATATATTGCAAAGAGCCGGCTTGGAAACTCACACCTGTGACCATCCTCCGCATCTGTTTACTCCAATGACGGACTCCTTCGAATGGAAGCTGAAACGTCTCGCGGACGGGACGAAAAGATGGAAAATCTTCAATTCACAACAGCTTGCAGGAACCGTAAGCGGGCAAATCCCATGTATACGTTCCTATCCATTTACGTGCTCACTGCGTTAGATCAATGGGAGGGATAAGGCGGACCGTGCGGCCTCATCCGAGGTAGAATCTGAGCTGGAACCCGAGCTGGAATCCGACTGGGAATTCGAGGCGCAACCGGCGGTAGAGCCCGAGGTGGAACCAGTCGCGACGGGACCTCTCCCGCAGCTTCCGATCGAGGTGTGGGAGAACGTGATTGACCATCTGTGGGACGATCAGGGTGCTTTGCAGGAGTGCAACCGCGTCTGCCGAGCATGGTACCCTCTGAGTCGCTTTCACTTGCACAGGCAGATCACGATCAGGAATGTTAAGGGTGTGAAGGCATATGTGAAGGCGCTGAAGCAGACGCCCGAGCTGTCAGAGCGGGCGCACTATATGGACATATGGCGCGATTGGCGGATAGAGACCTCAGCTCCGTCAAGCCTGTCGCTGGCGGCGATTCTGCTCGCTCGCAAGCTGCCCCGCTTGGAGAAGCTCACAATCTGGTCTTCAGAGTGGAAGCCGTGGACGATGCACCGCGACGTCTTCCTGCATCTCTCTGGCTTCTCTGTCACTTGCCTCCAGCTCTACTGGGTCACATTCCCATCAATCACTGTCTTTGGGCGCTTCGTATGCGCACTGCCACACCTCGTCAAGCTCGAATGCTTAAGCCTGCGATTCACACATGACCACTTCCACCGCGATACATTTGGTCCATATCGTGATCGCGTCAACATCCGCTACTTGAAACTCACAGGAGATCTCCAGAAAGCTGGGAAACTCATCGACTTCCTTGCTTATCCTGGCATCTTGAGTCACTTGGAGAAACTGTACCTTACAGACCTCGATAAGGATGAGTCACCATACAAATGGGACGGGCAGCGAGTGTTGGATGCTGCCTCTGGCTCGCTCTCAGAACTGCGATGCGATCTTCCGTCCTCAGCACTACAGACGGGTACAGAGGTGTCTACTGCAGGTGTGCGCTCTAGTTTCATGCAAGCATTTCTTCTGACTAAAGTCTCTCTAG